TCCAGAAAAAATTGTGCCTCGAGACTTCCCGCCACTCCCAGAGCTCCTGCTCGGTCATCCATGGCCGAAAGGAGACTGTGTATTGCTTGCTATCTAAAGCAAGGTTGACTTGTCCCGCGCGGAGCATGTATCTGGCTATTTCTTTGGCCGTTGCTACATATGTAACAAGGTTCCTTCCTTCGTTGTGAAACAACCCTCTCTTAGGAGGGGCTGTGACCTCGTCTCCTGTAGGCTGTAGCCCATCCCTTTTCGTACATACGTACCAGCCATTTCTTAACGTCAATTGGTAGGGATGTGGAATCATCCCCAAAGAAAACAGACACAGCGTGATCACGCAGCCATTCAGCCTGGACCTGGTATACCTCTGGGTTTATCTTTACTTTCACAAAGTCATCCCCCACTTCGACTGTCTTTGACGCTAGTTTTTTCGGAAGGACACCGTCAGAGTAGCATTTCGACAGGATCTCCTTGATCCGTTATTTTTCCTCTGCCGAGATACTCGGCGAGGAGTTTGACGGGCCAGTTGCGGAGGGTTCCATGTTGTCATGCTGTCCTGGCGTTGTTATGATCATACCATTATCCACTTTGGCTATATAGGGTTCACTTCCTACCTAGCGTAGCTTATAAGTTAGAATAGATAAAGACTTGACAGAGGCTTCAACAAATTGGTTGGAAAAAGTTCCCCTGCCCAGGATGTGGATCGAAGTTATACCATAGGCCCTAGGGCTTGAAGGAGATCTTCGTCCGCTGCTCGGTTTGTCACATCCGGAGCCTCCCAGTCTGTCGTGTCACAAGCCCTCTGGCTGCAGAAGAGGTCGCAGTCAGGCTGGCTCCTGCTGTGTTGTTCCCACTGGTTCGCCAACTTCCACTGACCACTCATGTTCCTTGGTTAGTGATTCCTTACACGGCTCCTTGCGGCTTGCAGTTCCAGTCAGGCCCCCGATATTCGGCGGTGGGCACTCACATCAGATGCCTAATGTGTGACTAGATCCACGGCAGCTTTCTTCCTCCGGGATACCGAGGAAGATGGCCACCCTTCGACGGTATGACCCGACTCCCATCCGCGCCGCACAAGATTAGCGCAACGTTAACGCAAACCGACCGCCTACCCATTCTGAAAACTTTCACTTGCTGCGAGCAGGGAACCTCGCACAACGACTATCCTGCTGTCAAATCCGGGAATCTACAGCGTGATATGCATCCTTCAGGCTGTCACAACTCTATTTTAGGTGAGAAGGGCCGGAGCTGTAACTAGATAGATTCGTTGTGCAACTTTTTTTTTTTTTTCCTGCAACTTCGTTTATCTTGCCATGGTCCAAGGGCCTATTCATTCAGCAAATGCAACTGTGTAGGTCCTGTCTGCACGTGCCGGCCACCACAGGGGTCCAAAGAGAAAAACAAAGTTTCTGCCCTGACGGCCGCTTCACTACGGTCGGCGACCTCCCCCCGTATGCGGCCCTAACTCACCGGATTGTGCTGTTCGATCTTTTTCCTCTGCTCCCTGCCCTCCCCTTTCAGAATCCGTTCCAACCCAGCCATGGCCTAGTCTAAGACATCTCAGTTGTGGCCCAGCAATGGGCGTGGCCAAGACATCTCGGCCATGACCCAGCCATGGGTGTCGCCTAGACAGAGCGGCCTTGGCATAAGCAGGGGTGAAAAGAAAACAACAACAACAACAACAACAACAACAACAACAAAACAAAACAAAACAAAACAAAACAAAAAGCGACCGCCACCTCCCGTTTTTGCCAATTATCGGACCGATAGGCCATCCAACGCACAGTTTAGTGTTTTTCTTGCAGTTTCGAACTGGTCTTCGCCCAAGCTTGCAGTGGACTGTTATTCCTGCGAATTTGAAACTGTGCAGCAGTCACCCGCGCAGTTATTTCAAAAACAAAACAAAAAAAAAATTACCCGCTCACAAGCCAGCCAGTCTGATGTGGGCTCAGTCCTTGGATGCATTGTGGTTCCGTCGGCCATCTGGCTATGAATGGAACATAATCCGAGTCGGACGTGTTTCTTGCTTGCGATGCAACTGGGGCTGGGAGGCGGCGGAACATAATTTTGTGGCTGCTGCTCTGTTCTTTGGCAGACGAGCTATGGATAGATATGGTGGACGTTGCAGAGGGAGGAAGGGGGAGGAGGCCCCAAATGGGATTGGACGGAAGATTGGATAGGATACTGTTCTCCCTCCCTCCTGCCTTCCAATGCAAAACTGGCGGGATGAATGGGGTTATGCAGCATAATTGGTATGCAAAGGAATGCTACTTGAGACGAGGTCTGGAAAAATTTTAATGCCGCAGTATTATTATTCGCTCACTAACAAGCTGCCGTCGCACCAACACAGATCCATCATGGTCAAGGACACACCGGCTCGCTCAGACTGACTATTCTAACAGATTGGAAGAGATCAAAGCAAAGATGACAATGAGGATGAAAAATGAATTTCTAGCTTCTGTCGGCTCAGAAGGAAACCTGAAAATTGCGAAGTGGCAAACATAGAAGTACCGGAGGGGGGTGGTTGGCCGAGTTTAGGGTAAAGTGCCACTCTTAGGGGCACGGTATTTTTTGAGAAGTTATCTTTTGGTGCCATTGGTCAGGACAGTCCTTTCTTTTCTGTGTTTCAACTTGAAGGTTCTTATTTTTTGAGAAGCTCTTTTGATTGGACACAAATATTAAGGGACGTTGGACCTGGCTTCCAGCATTGTTTTGTTTCCCACCGGGGGGGTGAATTGTGGCGTCCGCGGCCCCTTTTTTTTTTTTTTTTTTTTTTTTTTTTTTTTTTTTTTCAACACGCTCCCGCCAGTGTTAGTGGTGCTGATAAGAGCAGTCACCACTAGCGCTTAGGGAGAGGCTCCATCTATTGGTGGGGAGCATCACCTGCTGGAAACCGGGTCCAACGTCCCATATACAGAATGTGTTACAAAATGTATTTGGAGAATATGAGGAATATGAGAAGCAAAAAGATTGAGGGAGATTCCTGCCACCATTGATTACCCTGGGATCCAGGGGATTGACTGGTCAGGATGTTTGAAAGAGGGGGGAAATCCTTTTTATCCTGAACTGCTGCTACCCAACCACTGCACCAGTATCCCCTGTTTCAGGAACCTCTTCAGCCTGCTGCTGGGCGTCAGACTTCAGCTTGCTCGTCTGGTTCCTTGCCTTCGGCAGTCTCGACTCTTTTTTGTTTTTTTTTAAACAGCCAAGCGGGAGCTAGGGTGCTGATAAGAGCCGACACCGCTAGCACCGCCGGGGAGGCTCCATCTATTGGTGGGGAGCAGCACCTGCTGGAAACCGGGTCCAGCATCCCTTTTTACAGACTGGTTTTGACTGGATTTGAAAACATGATGCTCCTGCCAGCATTGATTGCCCTGGAGCCCCAGGGGATTAACTGTGCAGGGGGGGGAACCTCTTCACCCAGACACAGGCACCAGACTCTTACAATTGAACACTAGTTCACCCCTATCCATCCCTGACTCCGAAGGCTTTCTTTGGCCCACTCTTACTACCCTTTCTGCCACAGGTCCCCTTACCCTTCCCCTTGTCCCGTGTCTACTCCC